AAATTAGGCTGTGGTACCCCTCAGGCATCAGCCAGAAAATGACTTTCATCAAAACGATGTTCCCATTATTCAGTCAGTTGTTATTTGTTCTCCTGATAACAATTTGCAAGCTTGGGAGCTAGTTTCCACCATCGAAATGAAATTTTGATGAAAGTCATTTTCTGGCTCATGCCTGAGGGGTACCACAGCCTAATTTTTAGGCGAAAAAAAAAAGTTCTCCAAAATATTTAAAAAATACGTAGATCGACTCAGGTTTTGGTGCTGATTCTAAATATGTTATCAGGTTTTACTTAAATCCCAACTTTTTTGATCAAAATCTTCTAAATATGATGGGAAAACGTTCAAAACCATATCCTGATAATAGTATACTTCAAATAGCTCAAGTGGCCAGAATTCTTTGAGTTAGAAAAATATATGGTCTTGTAGCTTTTGATTAGCACTATCGATTGACATGGAAAGATTTTCTGGAACTCAGTTGCTTCGACCCCTATTGACCGACAAGATAGCAAGCACAACGGGATTTTTGGCTAATATATCATTGGTCACGAATGATGTGACGAAAACAAGAAACGGATTATTTTTTTTCATCAACTTGTTCTTATAGAAATCGATGCAGAATTTAATGCTCTATCCGACGAGATCATGTCGAAACAAAAGCAATGTCGTTGTACAAAAATATTAACAATTTGTCGTACTATTTCGATGACAACTTTAGCAATGAGAAACTAATGGTAGTATTTAGGACCTTTGTTAGTCTAGACACTATCGAATCGGCTTGAAATTACAGTAAAACTTCTCTAATGTGAACACCGTTGGGACCAGCCAAAACCGTTCAGATTAACAGGGCGATCACTTAAGAGGGTGTCAGCAAAAAGAAATCAATACATAAATTCCAGTACTCGTTACATCTTTTCGAGTATTTTTTATTTGATTCACCAGTTTTTTTTACTATTTTCAAGAGATTACATATCATTACATAGATCAAGTTAAACATCACATGAGATCCTGCTTAGACGGGTTTAAAAAAGTCACGAATCGATCGTTGTTTAGAAATGTTCGAGTCCAGATAGATGTCAATAAGCTTTGACTGCAGTTGCATTACATATAAATGTAATTCAGGTTGTTGAGTTATTGACAATAGATGCAAACGACGTATCATGTTCATTGCTTCAGATAGTGATGGTGGTTGTTCAGTTGTATCTTCATCATTAACTGCATCTTCAAAATTAATCCCATTAACAGTTAACATCTTGTCACTTGCATCATCCCATTTGTTATAAACTGGTACACCATCGTCTATGTTCTAAAACATTCAAAAGTGACCATTAAGAATACAATTTAAAAAAGCCAAAATAATTATTAAAGGCTCACCACAAAATCATTAGCTGGCATAACTGTACCACCAATACTTATATGTTTAAGCACTTGATCAAGATCCTCTATACATTTATTTTCGTTTACGACAACATCATTAGTATTAAGTTCCACTGTTACTGATGTTGAATCATCAAGAACGGCAGGCATTTCAAATCCTGCCATCTTGAATGTATTACGAATAGTGGCTTCAGTAATGGATCTCCAGGACTGATCGATCCAACAGATTGCGTCCAATGCTGTTATTTTTACATCATCAGCCGTATGAGCAGCATTGGCATTTGCAATAATATGTTTAACAAGATAACGTCTGTAGTAAGCCTTGAATGTCCTGATAATTCCTTGATCCAATGGCTGTATTTGAGCAGTTGAATTAGCCGGAAAAAACTTCAAAGTCACATTCTGAAGTTTTACATCAGGTGAATGAACAGGTGCATTGTCCAGAAATAGCAATATATTGCGTTTTTGCTTTTGCATCATTAAATCAAGATCATATAACCATTCAGTAAATATTTTACTGTTCATCCATGCCGTACGATTGCTGTGCCATGTCACAGGTAATTTCGTCATATCTATATTCTTGAAGCATCTTGGTCGTGCAGCTTTACCTAAAAAATAGCAAAAACAGATGGCACGTACCAAAACAATAGAGGAAGTAAATGATCACTCACCTATTACTACCGGTTTCAGTTTATCTGTACCAAGCCAGTTGGTACACAGCATCACTGTATATCTATCTCTTGATTTCTTCCCACCCTTGCAATCATTCTTATCAATCACCATTGAAAGATCAGGCATTAACTTGAAGAATAATCCTGTTTCATCGCAATTGTAAATGTCCACCGGGTTATAATGCTGAATAATGTTTGGCAAACGTATTTGCCAGTTTTCAGTAGTAATTTTATCCACAGCTGCTGCTTCACCACATATAATCCTAAAATGAATATTGTGTCGAGTTCGAAATCGGTCCAACCACCCATTACTTGCTTTAAAATTTCCTGATTGATCACCAAGTTCTTCAGCAACTTTTCGGGATTCCCGAATTTCGCCAATAAGACTTTCGCCAACAGGACATTCGCCAATGGCGAAAGTCCAGTGTACTTTCGCCAATATACCCTGGTGACTTTCGCCAATTGGCGAGAGTCCAC